AGCAAAAAAAAATTTAAAATATATATATATATTTCAATTTTTTTTTTTTTTTTCTTGATATTATAATTATCTGTATATGTTTTATCTATTAAGTAGTATTAGTATATGCTCTCAAGTACTAATGTAATAATACTACACTTCCAGGAAATGGCTGGCACCATTCCATGGAAGTTATTACGTTAGTACTTGAGAGCATAAAGAAAGCTATACTTTTCTTAAACGAACAAGATTAGTTTGGCCTAAGGCCAAACTAATCGAAAATCTATAACAATTGATAATTACAAATTAATTATTGAAAAATTATTAATTAAAAAAAATATAAATATGAATAGCAGTCGAATAAATAAATTTAATAAAAGATGAGTCAAAAAGATATTAAAAAAATTGTCTTTACTGAATATCATGAAGCTAAATCCAAAAAACTCGAAATAAATCTATCTAAAGCAAAACAACTTTTTATTAAATTTAACAATTCGTTTATTCAAAATTATCAAAATAAAAATAAATTACCAGAAAATGAAAAAAAATAGTTGAAAATAAACAGAGAGATTTCATACTTCAATGTTTAAATTCACATGTTGATAAATTATCAGAAATTATTGTTTATTGGGCAGCGTATTATTTAGAACACGGTTATGGTATTGAATATACTGATAATAATGAAAGACAAAAGATAAAAAAAAGAAGTATTGAATTGTATAAGAATGCTGCTGCCCAATTAGAAAGCGAATATGATAATTTAAAAAATCAGATTCAGAAGTTGAAAGATGAATTAATGAAATAAAAAAATGTTTTAAAATAAATTTGTACTCAAAATAAATTTAATTAACAATATATTTTAAATATTATATTTAAAATAATATTTATTATAAATAAATAAACAATTCTTAATTAGTAAAAGTAGGTTTTTCTAAAATAAATTCTTGAACTGTATGAGAAATATCTTCTTTTTTGAATAAAAATTTTTAGATTTACTTATAGAAAAATAATAATTAAGTAAATTTTAAATGTTATCAAAATCAGGTTTTTCAAATTTAAATTTATTTTCATTTGTATGATTGCTTTTTAAAGTAATCTCAGGACAATATAAATTATATATTTTATACAAAGTTTGATTACATATTTCATTTAAAATAAAATCCATTCGAGACTCAATAAGATATTTATAAGACCATTTTTGCATTATCGCCAATCTCTTTTCATATTCAATGTTTTTTAAATGTAAGTTAGAATATAATTTACGTGATTCACCAGCTATTATCATATCTGAACTCATAACAAAAAATGTTTTCTAGTGACAGATTCGATTATGAGAAAAATAAAAAAGCGTATCTAATTTTTTTGATTCATTAATACTTTTAAATATTATTTTTGAATAAAATTCATTTTTTTCTGAAGCAAAATAATTATTTTTCGAATCCTTGATATAACAAAAATTATCCGCTATATTTATCTGTAATTTAGATTCTGCTACTATTTTACCTTCGAAATCTCTCATATAAAGATTTATTTTTCCATAAGGAAGAATAATTTCTCCAGATATCACATTCTCTAAGGAAATTACGAGAAATTCGTAGTAATAATAATCTTGATCTTTATCGAAAGAATATGTACCGGTTTCTTTATTTAATCCTAGTACTCCATTGATAGTTTTAATATAATTTTTTTTTGTATTCGAACCATCTTTATCAAAATTTAAAAATAGAGAAACTCTTTGTTTGTTATATATTCCGTCTGAAAATGTCATGATTACCATTCGATTCTCAATATATGGTGAATAAGAAACATGACCGTAAAAACTTGATCCTTTTAAAATTTTGAGTTGAAATATAAATCTTAAATGGTTTGCTATTTGATCTTGCATTGCAACTTCATTATCTATAAACACACAGTGTTCGTTATTAAAATTGATCTTATCTCTATCATCATCAACAATATTTTTTCTTGGTGCTTGCTGTAAACTACTAATTTTTTGTTCTAATCTATTATGAAGAGTTTCTCTAGGATCTTCAACTATTTTACTTTCCAGATATTCAATTCCATCTGATACCACTTCTGTCGCAACAAGAATCGTTATTTTAATAAGTACTTTTCCAGAAAAAACCACATCTAAAAGTACCCTAATTACAACATCCAAAGCTCCATTAACAGATTCTTGTACATCTTCATGAAATCCATACCAGACCATTTTTGAAACAGCACAAAATGTTTCAATTCCAGAAATAACTGAGAGTACATGATAATATTTTTTAAAAAATTGATCAGTCATATGTTCCGACACATCCATTTTCAATAATTTCCTTAATTTTATCAAAAATCATAGCATTATTTATAGTTTCAATTTCAATACAGTATTGATACTTTTGATACAGTATTGTAATTATTAAAAAAATTAATAATTATAAATATTATAAAAGTAATAATTTTAATCATGTCAAAATATAAAAAAATGAATAATCATATAAAGGAATATTATTATTTTAATACTTCAATAAACAAATATTCATGTAAAAAATGTGGAAAATTTCTTAAAATTTCATCAACTAATGAGATGACAGAACATGTTATTAAATGTTTTCAAAAAGAAATTAAAGAAATAAACGATAGTGGAATTAATAATGAAATAGCATTACATTATGATTTTGTAACTCAATTTACCAACGATAAAACTCATAAAATTTTAAAAGAATTCACAGTTGATAAAGTTACCAAAAATTTAGTTTGTAACAAATGCAATCATACTTATTCGCCAAATTTGCAAATATTCACTTTAAAGAAACATTTTATGGATATTCATCCTGATGATTGGAACGAAATTAAAAAAGATAATAAGAAACAAAAAGTATCTGATGAAAAGAACAATGCTAATGATAGCGAAATTAAAAAATTATTAATCAAATATCATCAAGAATTATTGAGAATTAAAGAAGATGAAATAAAAAAATTAAAGGAAAAAATAACCAATGGTGAATTAGAATTATTAGATTTACTTGTAGAAAAAGTAAAAAATCGAGAAACATTTATTAGTGAATATCAGAAAATTATTAATTAAAAAAAAATATAAATATGAACAGTAATCGAATAAATAAATTTAATAAATATGAATCAATATCAGGATTTAGTAGTTGTAGTAAAACAATCTGAATTACCTACCTCAGAAACAGAATTTATTAATATTTTTTTAAAAGAGAATTTGGAGCAATTAAATAAATATAAATCATTATTTAAATATATATCTGATGACGATGATGAAAAAGAAAAAGCTTATGTTGTAATTTGCCAACAGGATATTTGTGAAAGATATTTACCGTTGGTTGAACAATCAATTAATGATAAATATGAAGCTATTAAAGAAAATCATCATGTGGTAAAATTCATGCATAGATTAAATGTGTTGAAAACTGCTAGAAATTTTTTGTATAAGTTATATAGATTTATTGATAAATCATTAAATTTAATAAAGACGAATCAAGAAACAGAACAACTTCTTGATGAACTTAATAACGAATTAAGATTAATAAAGATGAATCGAAATATTAAAGAAATCGAAACTGAAGCAGAACAACTCCTTGATAAATTTAACAAATCGTTTATTAAAAATCATCAAGATAGAATTAGATTTCCAGAAATTGTAAGAAAAATGGTCGAGAAGGAACAGAGAGAATTTGTACTTCGATGTTTAGATTCAGGTGTTGATAAATTACCAGAATCAGAAAATTTTACTTATTG